TGAAGTACAGTACAACCTGAGGCATTATAACTTGCCCTTACCTATACCTAGATCAGCATTGACAAAAAACTCTATAACGTATGAAAGCGTGAAAATGTATAACAACAAGAATATCACGGAATATTTCGCTTTTCGTGATAGTACAAAAAAATTTTTCGTTTCCAGGGCATTTAATTGCTTACAGGAATTTTATATTTGATCCATCGCATTATTATACGTATTTTATAAGTATTATCTGCACTAGTTCCTTAAACTGTGATTGTGAATATTTTGTTTGATTTTATATTTTTTTCATCTTTTTCGTTTTTAATGACTTGTCTTATCTATACCACATATTATATTAAGTTTTGAGTTGTTTGACTTGCTCGCTGTTTCTTGTATATTTTTTTACCTTTTTTTTTTTGTTTTGTTTTCAACGCAAAAGTTTCAAAATATTTTTCTTTATAGTCTTAAGGGTATGACATTGATTTAGGTTAAGAACCTATATGTATTATGCTAGCTAAGTTAAGTTGCTTTGTCAATGATTTTGTAAAAGAATTTCGACAATAAAGCTTTTTTTAAATTGAATTGAATGGAATTGAAAAAAAAGTAGGCCCAGGGTATCTGATTATAATTTGACACCCCACCTGAAGCCGTTACGTTTACAGGTAGATGATAGGTGTAAATACAGTAGTTTTAGCTAAATCCTCAGAAGCCATCGTCAGAAACAAAATTTTGTTGTCAGAAATTTGAAAAAATTTTGCGTACTTTTAACTTTTTCAAACGAAATCCCCTGTATTTGCCGTCTCCTACATATTTGGCTATAGAAACTTAATAAAACATTATTAGAGAAACCTTTACAGGTAGGATGGTTCACAGAATCTAAGTCAGTGCACTACCCAATACCCACTTCCAAGTTAAATTTAGTTTTCCATGAGAACCTTCTCGAGATCAGTGGAGAAGGCCGTTGTTCTGGTTTTTTACGTTACCATCTTTGAATTTTTTTGTTCTAGCTGCATGAGCAGCGAGCTTTTGCTTTAGTGTGTCAAGACAGCTCTGTGCAATGTTGGTAATCAGATGTAACTGAGTCTAGTTTTGGAAACGAACTATTTTTTTTTTCATCCGTCGTTGAACCTACCGTGACGTGTAACGCTCTTGTTATGCTGTTAGTTGCCGTTGTCTTGAAGTATCGTTTTTTTCTCAGCAGACTGCTTTCCCATTTAGGTCTTTGTGTTTGTCGATTCTAAGTGCCTTTCCTTGTTGTCCCTCCTTTGGTTCTGGCTGTGGCAAATACTACACCGTAAAATAACCATAATATGGAGCTGCAAAGGTTTAATAGATAGTCTAATGTAACCTGGTTTTATAGAAATAATATTTTGCGCTCTTTACCTTTTCTTTGCTACTTTTTTTATGCGGTTGAAAATGGCATTATTTTTAAATGCCCACACTTTTACCGCTATCTCAATTTTCTAATCAGCAACAATCAACAAATTGTTGTCACATGCCGTGTTACCAGCTTTTGTAACCTAACATTCGCTATTCAAATGTCACCTGTTGTCACCAGCAAATTACTATTTTCGAGAAAGTTCAGCCAACTCAGTTGTGACATTTCCTATTTCAGCAACTGAAAGATCACCGACGAGTCTCTGATCCTCAGAAAGTTAACAATTTGAAACGAATCTTAAGCATGTAGCCATAACACGCTCAATGCGAGTGAAAAAAGGAGAACCACTCAAACGGAAAGAGGTATTCAAGTTGTAATTGAACAAAAACCTTTACTCTTTTTCGTATTTTTGGAAGTTCTTCCGATGAAGTTGAGGTTGGTAATGAAATTTCGAGTGGCCAATAAGCGGGATCCTTTGAAGAAGGATGGGCCTTCGGGTTTAAACGCCGAGAAAGAAAATCTGCGGGATTCTGATCCGTAGCAACGTATCGATTTTACATGTCAATGATGATGTAACCTTTTGAAATACCTACTTTGACTAATAGAGTCGCACCACATAGCTCCAATTTGGGTATACTGATTGCCTTCAGCGGGGCTACACGGATTTTTGAGGTGAGTAAGTGAATGGACACATTGCTTAATGAATCAATGGACCTCAGATAGATACATGCTTCATATGCATATTGAGAGGCTTCTGAGAATCCAAGAAGCATGTCTAAAAATAACCAAGGAATTAAGATCAATAAGCTCAGCTCGAAAGGATTGCCACCATTTGCAATTTCTTGTGGAACTTCATCGTCCCATCTTAATTGTGAGGACCATAGTTGTTGCAAAGTTGTTTTCGCTTGTATGACAAAGAGGGTCAAATATTTTTGCAGTTTCAGATAGGATGACTGTTTTTGTTATAGCCTTAACGTTAGGTTGATAATCGATATAAAATGTAAATGAATCAGCCTTACTAGAACATGCCATGCCTAAAGTTTTGCATGTTTCTGCTAAAATAAAATAATAAGTATCTGTAGAAGAATTGGTCTCTTCCAAGAAACTAAGAGAACTCCTGACTATAAGTTTTCCATTTTCTCAAGGAAAACCCAGCACTGGATAAAACTGAAGCTACTTGGCTACACAAAAAGCTTAGATCTTGAACTGAATCTGCGCCAGAGATATAATCGTCAACGTAAAAATCACGTCTGATAACTTCTGAAATCCTGATCAAATTGTCTTTATTATCTACGGCGAGTTGTTTAAAACATCTAGTTACCAGAGACGGAGCACTTGATGTGCTATACATGGCAGTATTCAAGGAGTAGGTATGAAGACTTTCTTCTGGATTCGACGGCCACAATACTCTTGAACTCAACCAATTGTAAGGAATTATATGAAAAACGAGAACTTGAAGGGAGGAGGAGAACTGTAAAAAACTACTCTTAATTTTGCAGAAGAGCTTTCTTCTTTAAGTACCGCATGATGAGCAGAAAAGAATGCAACAGTTTCACTTGAAATGTCAACTGGAGACATGTGTCTCATATCGCAATATTCAGATCGGTGTAGCTGAAATTTCCCATGCGAGCGCGAAAAAGTCCCTAGATTGGCATAAAAATCCCTAGTTTCAAAATATATTCGATTTGTAGTAGAGGGGAATCTCGCATTCGAACCTAAGACCGTTTAAAACTGTCAACAAGTACAAGTAGGGGCGCTTTCTTTTATTCATCGATGAATCCATCTGAATTTACCATTATGAGACAGTCATTCCGGTTTTCTATGAACTAGACAAAGAAAGACTGGACATCGATGGAAGCGCATGGATCCATTGGTGAATAAATGCCAAATTTTGCTCTAAAATATTATGGGAATATAAATTAGAAAATGCTTAAATCTGGCATAAATTTCCTTTTTTCCCTAATTGCTGAAAATATCCCCAAATCTGGGGAGAAATTCTCTAATATACCATCACTGCAATATTCTCTCATGAATCTTTATACATTTCTTAAAGTTTTAGGTTGGAGCACCGTTTCTCCAAAGCGAAAAATTGTCTTACAGCAACTTGTTTGGAATCGCCTAACATTGAAATTGGACTATTTAAAGGAATGTTGACCACAAATCGACCATCATTATTTCTTTGAAAGGTTTGCTGAAAGTTGAGCTCAGCCTGCTGCTCTTCCTCTGAAAGATAATTTCCTGGAGACAATTCTTCGTTCTTTAGTTAATTACATGATTATTGCATCTATTTATATTATTGTTTCACATAAATAATCAATTGCATGCTTACTCAAAATTTCTTAAATGATAATTATATTTTATATTAATTCAAAAAGCACAAACTGTCAACATCCTAAAACAGTTATACGCATGAGCAGAAATCTTTGTGACGTCAGAAAGGGTTTTGTTTGAATGAGGTGCTTTTTTCAAAAATTAAAAAAAAAAAAAAAATAGGGAGCGCAGAGAAAAAAGAATATATACTATTCAATGGGCGATCGGAAACATGCCCATTGGCATGTTCTTCCATGTTTTGGGCTTGCTGTCTGAGTTTATCATCATGCTGGGGTGTATTTATATTCTCTTCTGTCATCTCACGCTAATAAGGTGGTCGAGTATCATGATTATCTTCTCGATTGATATTGATGTTGTTAGCTTGGAAAGCGAAAGCTAACTCAATTTTTCGTTTAATAATATTTGGCCGGGTTTGTGAGATTGGATCCACTACTTTTCGCTCTGTCAGGTAGTTGTAAGTCTGGAAAATCTCTGCAGAATTCGACGAGCCCAAAAATCTTCTTATCCACTTCGCGTTACTCCCTAGTAATTGCCCATTACGTGAGCACGGGCTGAGGTTTCTGTGAATCATTTCTACATGAAAATTATTATCTAGATATTTTTTAATAACAAACTAAGGACCCTTACTTAAACTCTGAACCAAAATATTATCACTTTCGCATTAAAATTAATTTCGTTAAAACAGAAATTGAAATTGTCGTTTACATTTATTTTTGATAATTATGGTAAAAGGACCCATGTACAATCAATATAAGTATGTCACAGATACACTATCATAAGATTTATAGCTCTGTCCTGTATTTTTTGACAGTGAGAACGACTTGAAGTAATATCTTCTTAAGCTACAAATTATTATTATTATTTAATAATTATTACGTTATTAAATATCCATATTTTGCATAGCTGAAAAACAAAAATTTTATACTTTTAAATTGGGTTGGGTCCAAGTGCTTTTGGATTGCGAAAGCTTCAAAAGTGTGAGAAATTACTAAAACAATATACCTGGCCCTTCTTTGAAAAAATAATCTGTAAGTCGAATACCTATCTTGATAGATATCCTTGAAAAAAATCGCGATAAAAATAAATAATAGGTACCTTCTTTTAATTAATAACACCAATGCTTTAGTGATAAAGTAGACAAATTTACTATTATTTAACATTGTGAATATTTATTAGGGCGTTTTGCATAAAATATGTAACACCAAAGAAAATTTGCATTTTTTGAGGGATAATAGCGAGTTATCGTTTGTAATGTGTTAGTATAAAGTACCGCATTGTAAAGAAATCTTTAGTGTTATTCGCGATAATGATGTTTATTTCAGAAATTCTTATTTATATTGCTGTAGTCTTTGGTAAGATTTTTAGGTACCTACTTTCATCTATTCTATTCAAAATGAGTTCAGTGTCATCCCTCATTCATAACAATAAAATAGCACTGCATCGACGCGAAAAAATTACTCAATAAGTTTCAAATAAAAAATATGTTGATGTCAAACTCTCAAAGTCTATGCTATAATAAACATTTGGAGAATCATGGATTGGAAGTTAAGTTCCTTCCCCCAAGACTTTACAATATATTTATTTTTCAATTAAAACCGACACATTACACCATTGACAAGGGTGATTGGAAGTATAAAGGCTAAAATACCCGGTCAGCTATCAGTCAATAACGACGGATATTAAATTTTAAAAAATTCTCAAAATCGAAATAGCAGGCAGCAAAAAAAAGCACAACTTCGTTACCGTGGAAAATAAAATAAAAAGTCCCTTTTGAATTCATATGGTTCTTTAAAACTTTACACCAAATGAACATTTTCATTCTACACTGGGCACACACATAGGTATTCTAATTATTAAATAGGTACCTACTCATGGATTTTCAAATCAATTTAATTAGCCTGTGTATAATTGACTCTGTTTTTATTCTCGTTAAATAAAAACTCACTAAATTGATCAGGTAGGTTGATAGTCCCGATTTCATGAATACAACTAAACTAACTCATATACTTGTAAGTATGTATTATCTTCTATAGGTATGTTCTATTTGGTTTCCAGGGTGTGCTCAGAGATGCAATGGATACACAAGAAATGAGATTGAAAAAACATATCCGGATCTAGGACCAGAAATTGTACTTTTTCCTGATGAAAATAATAGCCCCATTATTGGTTACATGAAAATGGACAATAATAGTAGATTATTCGGTTTTTATGAAAAAAATATAGAAGAAGAGGTCAAGTTTGAATATTTTTCGAGGTAAATTATGAAATATAAGTATCCTAGAATAATTTTTTTCTTCTCTGATCTCTAAACCTAAACGAATTACCAGTAAATTCTCTGATATCTCTCGTACCTAGTTGTGTTTGGTTTAAAGTATATATCCAAGAACCATGAAAGTTTTATGATTTTTGCTTAATAACTTGATAATTTATTGAATTTGATTTCCAACCGCCGTCAGCCGTAGGATCGGCTCCAGTCTAAGCGAGAATCTTCATGAACCGAATTAACCCTTAATTACCACGTAATGAAAAAAAGTTTTCGCAAATGAAAACATATTACCTAGATATCAACGCAACGTGTAATTCATACGGCTCAATTTACTGTATTATAAACAAATACGTAACTAATAATAATTGTTGATAATGCATCCAATTTTTAACCAACGATGGGATTTCAGAGACTTTCCTAACGGAGTACCAATAGAACACAAAACTGATTTGGGCAAATATGTTAATATTTCCAAGCCAACAAAATGTATTACTCATGGATGGATGTCAGGAGGAAGAATGGACTCATCAGTTCGTTTGAGAGACGGCTTTTTGTACAGGTAAATAGCAGGTAGAATAGCCCAAAACTATTAATTTGTTTGTCCTTATTTAAAATTCATAGCGTGCAGTGTTCAAAATTTTCGTATTTTTTCTCGGTTCCTTTTTGCTCTTGATCTAAAGAGATATGATTGTCGGTTCTTTGTGAAATTACTTAGTTGTTATCCTTTCACACCTAGGAGGAGCTCCGGAACAGCTCCGGGTAGCTCCGAGGCGTTACGCGGTTATTCCTTTCAAAAAGGGTTTGTTGCACCTGAAGTGCTCAAGCCCGAACAAAACCATTTAAATGCACGAAAGCCAGCACATCTGTTTCTTTCAAATCAGGGTCGACTAACACCGGAGTGAGTAGCTCTAGTGTTCTAAACTCTTGAAAGGAATACAAATAATATAATGAGTTCTCCTTTATGACGTAGAAAAAAAAAATGCCAATCTAAATGAACTCACTACAATTATTGGCTTGCCTTTGCAGGTGACCTTATTGACACTGCACTGAACTGAATCCAATTTACCGAAAAAGTGAACAAAAGTAGCAAAGGTGTACGGTTCAACGCATATACGGTGTTTGACTTTGGTAACATTGTGTCGTGTCGACTTCTACGGTCGAAATAAATATTTTTGGGGCATATACGAATCTGACCGAATACGTATTGAGTCAAATAGGCACTACCGGTGTCTAGCACAAATTATGTTTCATCCATGGGATATGCTGGAACTGGAGCGCTTATCCTTTTCAGCTCCACAAAAGACTGTTGACATTCTGGTATCTTATCGAAGGTATTCGGCTCAGTTAGTTGATGTAACCGCTTCGCAGTATTCCCATTTGCGATGACAATCCTGCGATAGTAACTGCAGAGTCCAAAGCAGCTTTTGGCTGCATGTTTGTTCTTTAGGGGTAACACCAACGACGATAATCACGATATAAGTGCCCAAACTAAGCTAGCGGTCTACAACGTCATCGTTATACCAACACTTTTCTACGGATGTGACGCCTGGACTACTTAGAGGCGGTACATGGAGTGTTTAGCGAAGTTCCGCCAGGTCTGCTTGAGAAGAATACTCAAAATAAACTGGCACGATAGTCGAACGAACAACAGTATCTCTGAGGAAACCAATTCCACCAGCATTGAGGCAATGCTCATCTAACATCATCTTCGTTGTGCGGAATCTATCGTCCGCATGCCAGACTCACAGCAAAGTATATTCGCCGGACTGAAAAATGGCCAACGCAACGAAAGAGGGCAATTCAAACGATACAAAGATGTACTCAAGGCAAACATGAAAACGTGTCAGATCGACGTGGGTGACTGGGTTTCCGCTCTGGATAGATTCTCATGGCGACGAGGTATCCATCAAGGCTCGGATAATTCCGAATGAACAACAAGGCGGAGAGATGCAGTCTACCGCTGATTGGGTGTGCAATCAATGTGGGAGAAATTGTGGGTCCAGGATAGACTCATTTAGCTATGAAAGAATCCCCAAATAATGTTGCTGCCAAGATTCTTACATAACTCGTTAGCGAGGAGGCCGATTGCCTATGATAAGGTAACACCAAACTAAAGATAGAAGTGAACGTTGCTGACATTGTAGATACCTTTGATTTCCTATCTATGGACTTCGAAAATAAAATGCTGAGTGAGCAACGATGAAATATTCTTGCAGTCAGCATCATGGCTCCTCAAATCAAAATTATAGCCAAAAAATGAATTCCTGGAAATGGTAAGACGATTGTGAAGCCACATCTGGAAACACAGTAGTTCAGTAAGCAGGAGTTCCTTCCAGGGAAAAATTGAAGAAACTTTTTTCTCACAGGTTCTATATGTTTTTTTGGGGTGCTGAACCTCGCCAGACGTTGGTTTCACACGAAAAGTTGCGAAAAACCCTAAATTTTCGACACTTTTTTCAAGTTTTTAACTATAACTCGAAAACTAAGCGTTTATTAATTAAAACTATGACATACGAAATTTAAGTAGACAAAATTTCCCACAAGTACGTATCATAACTTTAAAGTCTCGACAATCCATAACGTCGTTGGATCGTGAAAACGGTATTCTATCCAAGGTTTTTGATGAAAGGAAACATATTTCTAACAAATTGGTGTTTACACAAAATTTGTCAACACCTGCATAAGGCTCAGGATTGCGTTCGCAGATGCTCAGTTTAGATGGAACAGATTGTACATGCGTGGACCGCTCTAATTCTTGAAGGATGTGCGCTGGTCTCCCTACTGGAAAATAGTAGTTTTCCTAATCAGTGCGCAAAGTTATGTTCTCCTGAATGCGAACAGTGAGGAATAAGCTTGTATTTACAACCACATACGCAGAGATTGTAGATTGCGGGGGAGTCGTTTCGGCTTTTCAGCCGCTCAGCACTGCTACCTTTGCAGATATTTTGTACGTGACTCTACATCTTAATTTGTCCCCAGGAAGCGTAGACTTCTGCCGAAGGAAGCTATTTTCCTGGGTGTCAGTTGGCCCACTTCTTCTGGTGACAGTGTTGCCCCCTCAAGGAATTTGAGCCTCTTGCAGAATTGGGCTGGACATTCGCAGAGCAGGTGCTCTGCGGTCTCTATCTCTATTGCCGTCTGAGCAGAATCTGCAGAGATCGTCTTTCGCTCTGCCCATTAACCTTAAATGGTATTTTACTGGGCAGTGTCCTGTGAGCAGTCCCACCACCAATCTGATGTCTGGTCTGCTCATGTTTAGGAGCTGTTCAGCTCTTTTTGCTGAAAGGTTAATAAACCTTTTTCACTGTCTGAGTCCCGGTGTGTGCCTCCAATATGATGACAGTTGGTCTTTCTCCCATTTATTGAGTTCTTCCATGATGTGGCTTTTCATTAAGCCACAGTAGGGCTCTGGTCCATGGTATGGTGTTGAGGCCCCTTCCTTTGCGAGGCCATCTGCTTCTTCGCTTCCTTCTATGCCTCGATGACCAGGCAGCCACATCAGCGTTACCTGGTTGTGTGTCGCTAGTGTTTTTAGGGTCTGTTTACACTCCCAGACTAGTTTTGACGTGCATTTGGAAGCCCTTAAGGCTTTTAAGGCAGCTTGGCTGTCCGATAGTATGAAGATGTGTTTTCTTTTGAGGCTTTGGTTGAGACACTCTTGTGCACATATATCTATGGCAAGCAGTTCGGCTTGAAATATTGTAAGATGTTTACCCAATGCCTTGGGGAGCTTGAAGTTAGGGCCGGAAATGCCCAGTCCAGCTCCTTCCATTAACTTGGATCCATCTGTGTACCGTACCACAGAGATGCATTGTCTGCTTGTGGCAATTCTTTATTCACCCATGATTGGCGGTCGTTTATTACCACTGCGAAGGGGATCTCTAAGTCCAATCCGACCATCATGTGGTGACTTGGTTTGCTGGCATTCTCCAGTTTTGTTAAATCAAGGATTCGCAGGTTTCCCCTCAGATCGCCAGGCTTGAACTTGTCTATTTGGAATAGCCTGTGAGCGCTGGTTATTGCCTCATTTTTCACACATAGGTGAAGTGGGGGCATGTTGAGTAGCGTCTCTAGGGCTGCGGTGGGGCAAGTTCACATTGCTCCCGTTATTCCTAGACATATCAGCCTTTGCACCTTTCTTAGCTTGATCTGAGCGGTGACTTGTTGGGTTTTGGGCCATCACACCAATGAGGCGTATGTGACCATGGACTTTATTATAGTCTGGTAAATCCAGAATACCATCTTTGGCTTTAGCTCCCATGTTTTGCCAACAAGTTTTCGGCATGACCAAATGGCTGATGTAGCTCGAGAGCATGTTTTCTCTAACTGTTTGTTCCAAGTGAGGGTTCGGTCTAGGGTGACCCCTTAGTACTTCACTTCGATGGAAAATATTAATTGTGTACCGTTAAGGGTCGGGGCTTTCAAATTTAGCTTCCTTCTTCTTGTGAACGAGACAAGGATTGTTTTGTTTGCGTTTAGGGATAATCCTTCGCCTTCGCTCCAATTTTTAACGATGTTTCGGGCACTTTGCATTCGGCTTGTCACTACGCCTTAATGTTTGCCCTCGATTACAATTGGCTAGGTCATCTGCGTAGCCTATGACCTGATATCCAGCACTACTCAGTCTGGTAAGAATTTTGTCTACCACCAGTGTCCATAGTAGTGGAGAAAAAACACCCCTTTGAGGACACCCTCCGACCGTGTTAGCGGTAGCTGATGCTCCGTTTATTTCAGCCGTAACGTAACGGTGTTTCAGCATCGACTCTATCCATTTTACAATTGGGACTTCAACATCCCATTCTTGTAATGCTCTGGCGATTGATTGATGTGAGGTGTTCTCAAAGGCACCCTCTATGTCGATGGAAGCTGTGAGAGCGATCTCTTCGCACTCGATTGTCTTTTCAATGTCTTTAACCAGGCAGTGTAACGCACTTATTGTGGATTTGCCTGGCTGATAAGCAAATTGCTTCGAGTAGAGCGGTCTTCTCAATAGAGTTTCGCTTCTGATGTACTGGTCGATTACTTTCTCCAATGTCTTAAGGAGAAAGGAGGTTAGGCTAATGGGACGATATGATTTTGGTTCGTCCTCGGGTCGACGACCCGTTTTTGGTATGAATATCACATTAGCTTCCCTCCAAGATAGCGGTATGTGCCCTAGGAGCAGGCTTGCCTTAAAAAGCTTTTGTAGGTGTACGTTTAAGTACTCGTAGCCTTCTTGCAGTTGTGCGGGAAAAATCCTTTGCCTGGAGATTTGTAGGGTCTGAAGCTATCAATCGCCCATTTTATTCTGTTCATTGTGAAGATTTTCCCAGCCAGCCTTTTGCTCCTGCCGTTAGGGCTTTGTGACCCTTCGATAGGCAGAGTGACCTGGTTCAGGGCTTCATTGATTACCGAACCTGGAAAGTGAGTTTGTAGTAGTACCTCTAGACTTTTTATATGGTCGGTACAGTGTTCTCCGTTTGGCTTTTTAAGCAGACCAATTCCGTTTGAGTGGTTTTTTGAAAAAACTTTTTGGAGACGTTGAGCTGGGGCTAATTTGTCTATCCTCTCGCAGAATTG